TTATAATCCTTAACAAGGGAGGTAGTGTCATCGGCATATTGCCGGACTTTAAATTGTCTACCCTTTGCGCCTGGGAGGAGAAAGCCTCTGATGCCACTACAAAGTCTTATTTGGCACGCGAGAGCCTCTACGCACAAGATGTAGAGAAGGGGGGAGAGAGAGTCACCCTGTCTCACCCCGCGCATCAACATAATAGGCCTAGAGAGCCAGCCATTTAAGATTATACGCATATTGGCGCCTAAGTAAAAAGTACTAATCCATCTACAGAAATCAGAGCCGAAGCCGAAGCGATCAAGCAATTCCATTAAGAACGTCCTATTGACCCGATCGAAGGCCTTTTCTTGGTCGAGGCTAACTAAAATTCCAGTCTCATCCGTTTGAGTAATATACTCAAAGGTATCGCGCAACAAAACCAAGTTATTAGAAATTGTGCGCCCAGGGACTGAACAGGTTTGATCTGGGTCGATGATAGAATCCAAAACTTTGGCCAGACGTAAAGTGATCGCCTTTGAACAGATCTTATAATCGACATTCAACAAAGAAATCGGGCGCCAATTCTTCAAATCTTTAATATTACCGCGTTTCTTAAAAATTAACCGCGTTATACTAAGTTTCATGGATTCCGCCAATTCTCCATCAGCAAAGCATTGATTGATAACCTTCAAAAGAAGGGGACCAAGAAGATCCCAAAATTTTAGATAAAATTCAACCGAGAAGCCGTCGGAGCCAGGTGCTTTGTTAAAATTCATGGTCTTAAGGGAGGCAGTAAGCTCAGCGAGGGTGACTGCACCCTCACACACATGACGATCAGAATCAGAAAGGAAGCTATTAATCCCATTCAGCAAAGTCTCTTTGCATTCGGGATCAATTGGCTCAGCGGAAAAGAGATTAGTGTAAAAATCAAAATGCGCCTGTTCAATTGCCTCACGCGTAAATACTTCAGTCCCGCTCGGGTCTAAGATTGACTTAACATCATTTTTTTCCAAACGCTCTCTTTCTAATTTAAAGAAAAAGCGCGTCGGCTTTTCGCCTTCCTCAAGCCATTGCGCCCGGCTTCTGGTCTTGGCGCCCTCAAGAGAGCGATTAACCAGGGCAGCAAGATGTGACTCAATAGCTAGAATCTCTGAGGAAACAGAAATCTCACCTTGAGCGAGCCTATGTTTCAGACCAACTAAACGATAAGTCAAAACAACCCGCTCTCGACTGAGCTCTCTACGCTTGGATTTTGCAAACAAACGGATGTCGGCTTTGAGAGAGACTTTAAAAAAGTCCCACCAGGATTTAACAGAACCGAAAGCTGACAGACACGAGGATAAATCGGAAATACGCTCAGACAAATACTGACAAAAGATTTCATCAGAAAGCAGAGAATTATTGAATTTCCAAAGACCTGGCCCACGAGGGGCAGAATCGGCGCAATCAAAAGAGAGGTTGACATAGTCATGATCCGAGAGACAACAAGGTGTAATATCGCATTTTTCGGCGAAATCAACCAATCTGGAGGACAAAAGAAATTTGTCTAAGCGGCCGCCTATTGTGAAATCGGCATTAAACCATGACATTTCACGTTGTTTGCGATGATGTTTACGCCAAATATCAACAAGTTTAAAGGACGACCGAAAATCAGAAAGGTAGCTCGCGGTAGAGATATTCCCGCCGAATTTATCCAGATCACTTTCATAACAGTTGAAATCACCACCCAAGATCAAACCGTCCGCAGGGATAAAAAATTCGTGCAAATTCGCAAAAAAGGCCTTACGCTCGGTTAAATTAGTCGGAGCATAAATATTAATTAAATTAATGCGTAACTGCGAAGTTTCAATAAGCACACTTAAAACACGCCCTGATGAGTCTTTTAACCAAGATAAAATTTTGCCGTCAAAACTATTATGAATCAAAATTCCAACACCGCCTTGTTTCCCGACAGCCGGAGACCAAAAACTCTGGCCTGGCCAACGGGAAATAACGCCATTAATAGATTTTTCCTCAGAAAGCAAAGTTTCCTGAAGAAAAAACAAAGATCGAAGAGGCAACGAAAAATTAAACTCTCCTTACGAGCATTAAAGCCGCGTATATTAATAGACGTTACGTCGAAAATTAAGACTTAAATAACTATTAACAATGTTCCATTTCCAAGATTAATGTTTACCCTTCTTTGGGCCAGCCTTCTTCGCCTTCAGCTCCTGCTTCCGCTTCAAGGAGGTGTAAGCAAGAGTGTCCATATCTTCGGGTTCAGAGCGATCATGCGGGGGAGGAGGAGGAGGGGGGTCCACTGAAGTAGATTTTCTCCCGGAACCGGGTAAAGATGGTCTGGTTGGTTTGCGACCCAGCGCTTCCAAGGCCGCCGGCAAGGGGGCAGGTTTACGCCGTGAAGACTGAACACTCTTGGATGACTTCCCAGGTACCAGAGAGGTATCAGGAGAAGGTGAGGCTTGCGCAGGACCATCAGGGGGGACAGGGGGGACAAGGGGGACGCTATTCATTGAGACATCAAGAGGAGAGTTGTCAGGAGGCTGGACATCTACAGCAGGCTGAGTCAAATCAGGGTTCATCGCATCGACATCGGGGCTCTCAGCAGGAGAAGGAGAACTCTGCGGACCAGGGGGGTTGGGGGCCAAACCTGGTTCCCGCATCCGATTAGCGATTTGCTCCCAGATGAAACCCTGACTATCTAAGACGCGCTCATCCGAGGATAAAACCGAGGGTTGGCCAGAAGAAACATCAGCCGGAGAAGGGTCAGGGTTATCAGGGTCCTGCGGGGAAGGACGATCTCGCGAGAGGTTATCAAGCGGGACGCTATCACCCACAGGAGACCCAGAAGAATCGCCCGCGGGTATTTCTTCAACGACGTCTTCGGCGACATTGTCAGCGGCGTTTCCCGTGGCACTATGAGTGGCATTTTCAGTTGAGCTGGGGCCAGGGACCTGGGGAGGCGGCGGGGCCTGGTACCAGGAGTATGGACAACGGCGGGCAAAATGTTCAGTACTCTTGCAAATACAACAACGAATCTCTTCCTCACAATCACGCGATACATGGCCAAGCTCTTCACAATTAAAACAAACGGTATTTTGACATTCATTAGCGAAATGTCCCGCACGATTACAGCGGCGGCAGGTGTGTTGTTGTCCATCATGTGAGAGACGCACGAGGAACTTACCGAAGCGTAAATAGCTAGGAATAGGATTTTTCACACGCACGCGGTAGTGACGGATCCCATTGTAGACGTGCGAGTTCGAGAACTTTCCACGCCTCGCCGAAAAAACAGTGCAATATTTAGCCAAGCGCAGTTTGAGAGCGTCGTCGGACAACTCATGGGGAGCATCATAGATGTTTAGATACGTTAGCGGCATGTCCTCGTCGTTGATAGCAGAGGTGGAGTCGCGAAAACGAATGGAAACACAGCTCACAAACTTATTTTTGGTCTCTTCGTCAATAAAGGTAATTAACATATCACGAGAAGGGCGGCGTTGTAAACAAACAACCGATTCTCGCGGGATTCCCATTT